GTTTAAATTGTTGATATGTGTGTTCATGTGAAGCTGCAGATTAGGCTTTATTATGCTGTCAAGGGTAAAAACTGAATTCTCTCCACCACAAGACAACTGAAAGATATTTCTGTGATACTGTTGAGAAACAGCAGCGCGGTAAGGCGTGGCGAGGCAGACTTTTCCAGCCAGAAAATGAAGGAATGATCCACTTTTAAAGATCTGGTGTAAAAGGAGACTTTGAGCTCCAGTATAAGTATTTTCAGTGGTAAAGAGTCACCCGGAGGTCATGGCTCTAGTCCCTGCTGCGGGGGTTGTGTGGAGGCGGAGCTCCTTCCACAGGCGCCGAGCTGGGAACTGAGAGCAGCTGACCACCGTGCATGCGCTCGTTGACGCGCAGCTGGCAGCCATCCTGCAGCATGCGGACAGCTATCCTCGCTATGTTGCGTGAGTCGTCGAGCCCGGAGTGAGGACGACCTTCGTACGTCAGGCCGAGTTTCTCCAGCATGGTGCTCAGCTTCGTCTGAGTACGCGGCACCTGGAGGAAGAAGAAGAAAATATGGCTGGTTAGCAGTGGAGACCTTTTATCATAGAAGACATTAGGACATGTGAGAAATAGCCAAATCTGTGAGGAGGTTCATGGACGTGACATAGGAAGGCATGCAGAGGGTTTAATGACTAAAATGAGCTGGAACAGTACGAATACAGTGCTCTGAAACAGTATTTGTTCCCTTTTTGGGTTTTTGGTTTCTTTGGGCTTTGATGTGTTGCTATTTGAGATATTTTAACCTGCTTCACTTTGCTAGACAGGTTCTATTTGTGATTTCTTGATTCAACAGGTCTTGCAGTAATTAGAGCTGGGTGTGATTAATGAAATAAGGGTGCAGTTACTTTTTTTTACACAGAGCCAGGTAGCTTTGGATAACTTTTTCCCCCTAAATAAATGAAATCATCTTTGACTAATATTAAAATTAGTTTTAAAAATCTAAAACATGTAAGCGTGTCTGTACAAAGCTGTAAAATGTACCTTGTAGAAGTTTCCGTATGACTTTCTTATGTTTATCCACTTCTTTGCAAACGGAGGATATTTGATTCGGCTGACCCGACACTGGATGTTGAGGAACTTGCTCATATCCCACGACCTGTGGATGATGTTAAAGAAACAGCGCTGTAAACCAAGTGAGGAGAAGAAAGTAAACATCCTGCAGAAGCTTTGACGTGAAACCCACCCGTCCGTCAGGATGGCGTATTTGTATTTTGTTCCGAGTTCCCTTTCCTGAAGCCACGACACAACTCGCTGCAGGACTACTGGGAACGGGTCTGCTTCTTCGACCATTTTCTACCAACACAACACAGAAAAATGAGTAAATGACTCACACGTGTAATGTGACAGTGATGTGAACTCAACCGACCTGCGTTATTCCCGTCAGCTTCACACAGAAGTCTGAGAGCTGTGGGTTAAGCTCGGGCTTCACGTACTCCTGAAAGGTGTCCACCTGTGCAGAACGTTAGAGGAACATCATTATTAACAAGGACAACAACAACAACAACAAAAAAAGACAACTCCTGATTTAAGTCACAATCTTTACTAACAATCTCCAAGGTGTGCGTGTTGATGAGAACCATAGGGAACTCAATGATTTCGTGGAGGAAGTCTGAAGGATTGTCCTCTTCACATGTGGCTTCAAAGTCCACCACACAGATGTAGTCGTAGTACGTGTCGGTGGGGCCTCCCTCTGCCGCCGTCTGCATCAGCTTCTGTTTCTTATAGTGGCTCTTCAATCTCTTCTTCATCACATCCTTCACTCCTCTGCACACACCAAGAGAAAAACTGTTTGGTAGAACACTTCTAAGGGACAAGCACGAGTGTTTGGTCCTCAAAAATTTATTAAAAACTCACCGTGTGTCGAGCTTTAACTCCGCTAACTTGATCCGAAGCTCCTCCTTCGTCATGCGGTTGATGTGGCCATTGGCCAAAGCAATCTCTTTGTACACCGGATGGCTGAAGTCACCCTTCGACTGAGACGGGGACACCTGAGGAGCAGATTCTCCCGCAGGACACAACCTGCTGCTAGGCTTCTCCTGAGGAGGAGACGTGTGGGTCGTTATGTGTCAGAAAATGATGTAACTCTACAAATTTGGCCATCAAAAACACAGAGAGCATGGATCAATGGTTTGTTTGGAGGAACAGGTCATTTTAGAGTGAAGTCCAACAACACATCAGATAAGATTATCTGCAAAAGAAAGTAGATAGCAGTTTCTGAAATACTTAGACCTATCTACTGGGATTTTCCCACAAAACTATCTCTAGGAGGTAAAAGGAAAATAGGCAGACTGTTCAAACTTAATGCAACCATGCAGAAGAGTAGGAAGGTGAACTGTACAGAAGAGCATCTCAAACCTTGAAGCAGGAGACGACCACACTGGGTGCCTCTGCTGTCCTCTAACAGGAAACTAGTTCCTTGACCATGACAGTGAGTTCACTGACCTCACATGGCCTGCACAGTCACCAGATCTCAATCCAACAGAGCTCCTTTAGGAGGTGGTGGAGCAGAAGAGTCACATCATGGATGAGCACCCACTGTGCGATGCTATCCTGACAACTAGGAGCAAACTTTTTGTTGAATATGTGCCTTTAAGAAGTAACACTGAAGGAAAACGGGGTCTAACCCGAGAATAGCGATCTCTTTAGCTTAAAACAAGAATAGCTCAGTCAATTAAAATACAACACGACAAGATGAAGTACACAGAGCAAAAGAGAATCGGGGTCGATTTGCAGGGCTCACATTAACAAAACACTGATGTAGCTCCCGTCTACTTCAAATATTTTAGCATTAATTACTCCAATACAAGAGTAACTAAAAGTAACGCGGTTTCTAGTCATTTTCATCAAGTCGGCGCCTTACCAAAGAACCCAACGGGACATATCTCTCACCGGCCTGTCTTTGGTGTCAATGAACGCACCAGCCAGTCAGTTTACTTCAACGCAAACAGCGTTTACACGGAGCAGTGATTCTGCTAGCTCACCCACCTTCTCCTGCTCCTTTACGCTGGACGTCTTCACATTGTCTTCCTGGCCGTGAATGTTCTCCTTGTGTTCGTCCATTTAAAGCTGAGGTTAGTCCAAAAGTTGCTCAGATCATTTAAAAACAACATAAATTCAAGGCTAAATCAGGTCTGCTGCTGCTCCCGCTAGCCTCAACACATTAATGGCTGAAGCAGCTACCGCTAACCAGCGCTGACACGTTCAGTTAACGTCAGATATTTCACATAAATCAACCACGGGAGGTTTTTTTCAGAAAGTAAATAATAAGGTGCCTTTGCTAAACCCACATAACAGCACTGAACTTTTCTTTTTCATGAGGGGGACAGTTATGACAGCTTCCGCTTTGCGCCAAAACAGCAGCAACAGCGCTCACTATCGCCACCTGCTGCTGCGGATGAATGCAGCAACAGGTGTTTTTTGTTTTTGTTTTTTTCACCCAGGACAGGTGAACTTAACTTTAATGTCAGAATTTCTGAGAATAAATTTAAGAGAAATACTAGGATTTGAAAATCATAAATTTGCACATTTTAATCTTTAATTTTTGTAGCTTGAATTGAAGTCCTTTTCATGTTTTCAGCACTCGGTTAGTAAAAAAGTTAATTTACTCTATTGGGAATACAGTGTAGCTAGATTTGTAAATAGATGCAGTAACTTTATGTACTAATAATGTAGCTGTTATCTATTACAAATCACCTGTGAACCTACATCGCTAGTATTATAAAAATGTGTGCAATTATTTAGCCAGACCTAACCAGCTGCACATTTTGTTTGTATTCCACTAGAGCAGCTTTGCATGATTCAGACTTCTAAATAATCCTTATTTATGTTTATTGCAGCCCAACACTTCATCCTCTGTCCAAAACAAGCTCCCTTAGTACCGTTTAAGCAAACTTTCCTCTGATTGCATGTTAAACAGATTGTTTAAAAGTGGTTGGGGATATATGCCAAATATGACCATATTAGGAATATCCACTTTATTTCACATCATGCAGAGCCAAGAAAAAAAAAACTGACACCAGACATTTGAAGCGGTCTGAAGCCTGAGCTGCTGGCTCACAGGGATTACTGATGTATACACTGACCTCATTATCAGACCTGCTTATTATGAGCATCCATCACTGGAACAGTGCAAATAAAGTGCTATGAAAAAGAATTATGTCCCTTCCTTAGTTTTTTGCGTATTTATCAGAATTCATGGTTCCAGCAGTAAGAAAGGCAGGGTACTATCTAACTGAATAGTAAATTTCTAATTATTTTAATATAGTTGCCGTATATAATTAAAAAAAATATTTGAAGCAGATATATGTAATAAAACTAATTAGAGATATTTGGAGGCAGTGCTCCTGTTTGGCCGCTAGTTGTCACTCTATCTCTATTTAAAGCCACAAACCATTGATGTTTTCACTGTACACATCTATACAGTATGAACCCTTTGTAAGCCTTTGTAAGGGGAAAACACTTCACCAAATATCATCGCCAGAGGTCAGCAAAACCAGAAAACTGGAAATTCTGGCGCTGTGCAGCTAATGATAACTGTAAATCCTGGGTGGGGCTGCTGCTGCTTTGATTTGATGTTCATCTCTCAGAGACAACAGAATGAAAATGTCTGTCTTAATGAAAAGCAATAAAGGACACCTGGCGTTCAATTTAAGATCCATCTGTGCCTGCAAATCCTAAATTACTTCCCTTTGTTCGCCTGCACTTGAGTTTTGCAGAAGATTCTAATGGATTTTTAAGCATCCATGAATTTAAACTGAAGGCAGCAGTGAAATTGAATGCAGTTAAATCAATGTCGTTTCTAAAAGCTTATCCAGCTGCTTTAAGTGGAAGTGATTTACACCCTGGTTTATGCATGTATTCCTTATGAAGCTTGAGGGGCAGTATGATCTTCACAGTTGGATTACATCTTCCATAATCAATAAGAAGCTCAGAATTTATTTATTTATTTATTTTTTTTTAAAAAGGCACCTTGATAGAAAAACAATGATTTATTTTATCATCTGAAAATATAATAATAATAATACAGTTATAGAAAACCCATAACCAGAAACTAATGCACAGAAATTAGAAAAGAAAAAGACAAAGAAAACACACACACACACCATGAACTCAGAGCTTTGGAGAGGAGGTGCACGTCTCTCCTAACAGAGATAGTGTTTGAACCAGTTTGCAAAAAACATCAAAGATGAGCTTAGGTTTCATAAAAACCTCCATATTTGGCTTTTTTCTTCTTCTTAGAATAGAGAAAAACAGAAAAAGGACACACAGAAGAAGAAAAAACAGGCTGCACTGAAAAGGCATCAGTCCTATTTTTTAACCCCCTCATCATCATCTTCATCACAGTGAAATGGGGTCGGGGAGCTACATTTTTCACTTCCCTCTGTCCAGTCTGCGATGCTGCATTCAAGTCACGTGCGGGAAAGCGGCTATCGCTGCTGGGAAACATGCTGCTTTAATGTTTGAACAGACGCTTATTTCAAGTAAAAAGAGAAAAATCTTCAGCCTCTCAAATCTTCTAAATCTCAGAACAGAGCGTCTGAATGCTGCAATGTTTTTTTCCCCTGGACATGAACGCAGCACAGCATCAAAGGCTTCACACACACATACATTGTAATTTGTTCTGATCACCTCTCCAGAAAAGGCCATCTAATGTGATCACGTGTCAACTTTAAACAATTTCAAATTGGCATAATTTCACCTTATTTCCCTCCACGTGCACCAAACTGCATCACGCGTCAGTGTTCTCTCTACATGTGTCGTGTGAGAAAACAGGCTCTGCTTCTCAGCTATCTCCTGATGTTAGTACAAGGTTTCCCTTCTCACTGTTAGAGGCTTTAAAAAGCTTTCAGAAGCAACAGTTACCTGAAAACACAAACATCATAACAAAATAACCACAAAAACACCAAATTAACAAGAGATGAGGCAGTTAAGCAGCTTTCACTTCAAAACAGGCAGCCTGACATTTTGGGAAATAGTCACTTTTTTTTTTGTTTTTTTGTTTTGGTCTATTCAGTGTGAAGTTAGAGCCAGAGGACGGAGATGTTGGCCAACTATAAGACAAGTAACCAGTCCCTGGTGTTTTTGAACACATCAATCAAATCAGACGTGGTGACCAGTAGGGGAGTGCGACAAACAGGTAAAAGAAACTTGGCGGTAACCAGCAGGGAGGTAAACCGGCTTGTTTCAGACAGAATGAAGCAATGCAGAGACGCTGTCTATCTCTATGTCCCGCCCCCGGCTTTAACCGTTTCCATCTTGGATGCCTGTTAGGAGTAACTCTTGATTCTTTTACCTGAACTGAGGAGTTTCTGTCATATTTCAGGCTACTTCAGACTAAAATGACTGTGTATCTATCAGAAGTTAATGAAGTGGTCTCTGGCTGCACAGGAACGTATTGTCTAACAGCCTCTTTATTGATTACAGATGTGTCAAAACTTGTCATTAGAGGAAATGTGGAGATCGTTGAATGTCATCTTAATGGGGAAAGAGTTAGAGAGGCCATCATTTTGTTGCCCAGTAAATGACAGGTGTATCTGATCATTATCTTGGTAAAGATGAAGCTGTGTGCACATTTTAAACAATTTTTCTTGTTTTACTGCATTTGTAACAAGAACTGTGAGGAAATCCATTCAGTGCTCTGGCAGGAAACGCTGATTGGGCAGGGTCGGAGCTCTGGACCAAAACACCAATAAAAACATAACTTGCAGGAATGTGAGCATTTTAAGCTCATTTTGGACAAAACTCGACTGGTAGGTTTAAAGAAGGGCTTTGAAATAACTGCATGAAGTCGTTTCCTGAGCAGCGGCTGCTGCTTCTCGAAGCACCGTGACCAAGGGGCCGCATCGAGGATCGACTTTGAGATAAATAAGGATTATTGTGAGGATTCAAAGATACACCAGAAGACAATAATAATTATGGATCAGGGGGAAAAAAAGATCAAGCAGTTGAGGTGAGCAGAATCATGAAGCTAATTCATTAAATTAACGCATAATTAGGAGTATTTTTTCAAATTTATAATCATTTAGTTACTGTGAGTCACTGTGAGAGGTCAGATTTGGGCAATAAAAATGAAGGAGGGCGATAAAAGCAGGTTTGGGCATCACTTTTCACTGCAGCTGTAGCTTAAAGGTTTTAATTTCTTACAGCAGATTTATTTCACAGCACGTCCATTAATGATCTCTCCCGGCTCTAGCTGCACATCTACCATCCAGACCTGAGCCTATTTTCCAAAATGTTTAACTGTTCCTTGAAGAAACACAGTACAGAAACACACGAGTAAGTGCACAACGCACACGAATACACAGATTTACACACTGATAGAAAACAGCTTAAAACAATGTGCAATCCCAGACTTCAAACTGTCGCTTTGAAGAAGATGCTGAAATTAAAAAAACCTCACATAAATACAGAACAGCAGCGAGAGAGAGAGAGGCGCGGTGCGAATGAACCTTCAGGTGGATGTGTGTTTGTGTTTGTCACAGCGAGCTTGGTGTGCACATTCAAATCAGGTCCACTGGACTCATAACTGACAGTTTGTGTGGAGGTGGTGCTCTAACAGCAACACATCCCTTTAAAGGACAGGAAAAAAATAACGTGTTATTCCATGCCCTGATGTAATCCCGCTCATTTATATTTAGACTTCAGTGTGTGTGTGATGCCGGTGCCACCAGAGTGTCCTGGTGACCAGATGAAAGCAGCTGAGACGATTTATCTTTTGTTGGCCCTGCAGATCTGCAGCAGAGCAGCCACGTTTTCATGTGTGCACCTTCAGAGAGTTCCGGTTCAGCTCTTGAGCATTTATGTCCGTTTACGTGTTCTTGGTGAGGCTCAGAGCCTTAAACCGAGTCACCGTGGAGCCCAGAATCATCGGCTCGTGTAAGGCTACATGTTGATTTCCTCCCCACACCGGTCTCAGTGCGGGAGGAGCAATCGTTCCAAAGCGCACTGCAAATGTTCCCAGTTCTTCCACAGCAGCGCTAGCAGGGACACGCCCACGCAGGTGAGCGCCAAGTGGAGGCGACTGCGCAGCAGCGGGGCGGTGAACTTGGCCGCAGTGGACACGCACACCAGGATGACGGTGACGATGGCCAGCATGATGTTGATGCACTTGCCCAGCAGCACTTTGGCGTCCGTGTTTTCCAGCTGGATGGTTTGCTGCTGCTGCTGCTGCTGGAGCTCAAGCTTCGACACGCGAGTCTGGCACGACTCCAGCACCTCCTACGACACATGCGCGCGCACACACACACACACACACAGAAAAATGGTTAGAGATCAGGGAAACTCTGGAGAGCAGTGAGTCACAGCGAAAGGGCAGCAAAACTGGATCATGTATGAACTTCAGCTGCATTAGAAACAAGCGCAAGAATGCCCGATTAGAAATAGGAAGCAATGGAGGGACTGCTGTGGCTTCAGTGTGACCTTTCCCACTAAGGGGTCAAACTTGTCTAAACTGAACACTGTAAATAAGGCAATAATACATTAGGCCTTTCAATTAAACTTACAATTTGAGTAAGACATTGGTTACTCAAAGGGTTAATTCTAAACTCTAATCTTAATCAGCCGTGTGCTGTGGCAGTGGTGGGGGTTTATGCCCAAACATAAGTCACCTGTATGTCCCTGGCCCTCTCATAGGCCTGGTAGGCCACCTTCTCCTCAATGCTGGCCAGCTCCTGCTTCAGATTGCTGGTCTCGTGCTGGTGCAGCTCCGTCAGGTCATTCAGCTGGTCCTCCAACCGCTCATACCTGACAGACAGAAACACCCACAAACATGCAGAGTAGGTGGAGGCGGAGAGAGCCAACGAGAGAGAAACAATGCATTATTGAGAGTGTGTGGGCACGTAACAGTACAGCAGTGTATCTGCTGCAGCCGAGCTGCTCAGAGCATTTGCCCTTGGTTGGGGGGTTTACGTGTAAGCTCTGCCGGCTATTTTTAGGCTTTTAATGATGGACTCCTAAACTGTCAAAAGCTCTCTAAAGTTCAACAGCTCATGTAATGACAACGTTAGCTCTGTTAGGAGAGAAATGCTACCATTACTGAAGCACCGAAGTGTAAAAACATTTTCATCCAACAATTATTCCACAATTTTACTTGATACAGATCAGTGATCCTCAAACCTTTTGCCTTCTGAGCAAAAAACCTCTGCTAGCATCCCCCGGTTAGCTTCAAAGCAATGTGCAAACCGCTTTTATTTTGTATTTCGTGTTTATAGTCGTACAAATCGTTGTGCAAATATTCTTGTGACATGACTGCAGCACACATATTCTGACAGTAAAGGATATAAGGAAAAAAGACCCTTCCACAAAACAAAAACAGCATAATTTGTTGAGCAGAAATATTTTACACAGTATAATATTTCTCTTATCTTTCTCAGTTCAGTGTTTTATTGGATTTTCTGATTTAATTCAGAACTCAATAATACAAACAAGTGAATTTACAAGTCATAGTTAATATAGTGGTGATAGCTTCGCAGAGACTCCAAAGACAGCAGTTAAACATTTTAATGTCAGCTCCAGAGATAAATTTATGATTTGTAATATTAGGCTACATAAAATTAACATTTTTATGTTGGCTCTGTGAAGTTTTGTCCAGCCTGAAAAATGCGTCATAGTCAGGGATTCATTAAGTGAAGGGGAGGATTCACAGTTTGTGTAAGTGAGGCAGGAAACTGCATATTTCATCCTCTACTGATTAAATTTCAATTGTGATTTGTTCCCCCTCTATCTCTCCAATTTATGGTGTTGAAATAAATTTTAGATATTAAGAATTGAAATGGGTTTTTAATTACTTGTTTCAGGGGCGTTTAAGGTGTTAACACTGAACTGTTGCTCACTCAAAGCCCGAGGGGCTGACTTTATACTAATGGGTATATTTAAGAAAGAAACATGTGAGTCTGTGCCCTGTTACCTGTAAAATGTTCATGGAAGAGTATTTAACCATCATGTGTGGGTAACAATATTCTCCTCTCCCAGAACTACACAAAATATTCTGTTTTGATCTGTGATGCAAAAAAAGAAACACTTAAAAAAAAAATCTTTCCACAGTGAGAAACAATCTGTCCTCAGTACCAGGGAAGAAAAACAAAAAACAAATCCTCTAAAGCTCCTTATAAGCAACCAAATGTCATTTTATTTTTCTTGCACCTTAGTTTAGGAGATTTTTCTTTTCTTCAAATACTATATTTTTGGCATTTCTCATTTTAATGCTGGTGTCAGTGGAGATGTGAAGCATTTAAAAATAGTACTGGAGCACACAAGCTTTCCCCCCTAAAACCTCCCTAGAAATCACGAAAAAAAGAGCAGAAAACAGAAAAAAGATTTTTTTTTTCTGGGAGAAAAGCCTTCCTTAGACTCGTGATGCTGTGCTCACCTGTATCGCTCCTCCTGCATCACCTGCGTGAAGTAGTTGTAGTCTCGTTTAAACTGTGTGTTCAGAGTCTCCATGTCCTCTGCCAGCTGCGCTTGAGCATCCCTGATGTCCCGCACCATGTCCAGCACCTCCACTAGGCGCCCGCTGGAGTCTGACCTCCCTGGCCCCCCTGACCCCGCCCCCGATCCTCCTGCCGGGTTCCCGTTGGAGTCAGCGGATGCAGACGTCCCGGTGGAACACTCATCGTCGCTCTGGTACTTGGTCGCCTTGGCTACTGTGGTAGCGCTGCCACTCAGACCCCTCGCGCCGCCCTCCACCTGCAGCCCTGACCCTGTTTCCATAGAGCTTTTCAGGTGAGCGATGTTGTCAGCGCTGCCAAACTTGTTCCTGATGAGGTTAGCGAACTCCCGCGGTTTACTGAAGAAAAATGGAGGTGAGAGCGACACGCCGGGCCCGATCGTCTTCACCTTATCCAGTGCCTGGTGGCGCCCGGTGGTGCTGACGTCCCGCAGACTGCCCTCCTTGCTGTGAGTCCCGGACTCCTTGCTGCCGCTGTCTTTCTGGTTGTGCTTCCCATTGGTCTCGCTGTCCTTCATGCGGCGGTGGTACTGCTCCAGCTTCCTCTGCAGCCGACCGATGGTCTGCGCAGACTTCTGGTTCTTCTTTTCAAACACCTGCCGTATCCGCGACACCTGCTGCTTGTCGGCATTGTTCATAAGCTTCAGGTACTCGGCCACGTTCTGGTCCCGAGCCGTCTGCTCCACCTTAATCTGCTCCGTCACCTGAAGGCAGAGCCAAAGGACAGATGTGAAAACAGCTGCTGAAGATTTAAAATCATTTAAGCATGCATGATACCAGCGCTTCTGATTCTTACCGACACCCCGATTTGTTCTATGAGTTTGCTCATCTTTCACACGGGTATGTTAGAATAATATAATGCTGCATGAATACTGACAGCAGCCCTGTTTGTCTTTGAGCTCACTGATACTAATTTAATTTTGCCCCCCACTTCTGATCGCTAATGATAATTATCCACGAGAGGAGACGTTAACACCTGCTTTTCTTTGTTTGCTTGTGAAGAAGTTATCCTGTGTAAACAGAGCTGGTCTTAAAGGCATCTCTAAACCTCCTCACACGGGCGTTTCCTCAGAACAAAACAAAGTTCCTCCAAGATTTTTTAGCCTCCTGTTGCTAAACGGTAGCAGTCAATGTGCCCCTCAGTCATGTGATCGAGTTTATTCCAACCGTGGAAAGTTTAAAAATTACCATCTGATACTGATGCTACAGATCAAACTGTTTTCTCTGGTCTGCTTTCATTCACTGTATTTGTTTCTTTGTGTATATTCCTGACTGTGAGCAGCAGTTCATCACATTGTAATAATAATTTCACTGTTAGGTTATTGTTGAAGTCTCAAAATACTTTTGCTTGGATAAACCAGTGAATATACAGCACGCAGCACGAGTTCAGCTTAGTCTCTACAGTTGTAAAAAGTTGATATTAAAGTGCAGGATAAGCCTCTACTGTGAAAAACACTTCTAATTTCTAAAGACAGGACTGAGATGAACCTGAGTCGATTTTTTCTTTCCCCGTCATATCAGAACTGACATTTAAAAGACATTTAGTCCATTGCTGGATAAAAACAGCTGCTTCTGTTGCTTCATGTGTCACCAAACAGAGCTAAGGAGATATTTTAGTTTGTCTTTTACTCAAGTGTGGTGCTTGAGTTCTGAGTGCCAACGTGTCACATGTGTACCCACAGCTTTTCAAATTAAACACGATAAATTTACAGACACACACTGAAGCAGGTGTGCGATGTTTTCCTTCTTACCTTGAGGATCTTCTGCTGCAGGCTGTCAATTCCCAGCGCTCCTTTGGTGAAATCCAGACCCACGCCATCGTGCCCAACACCGTCAACCACGTCTAGGTTGGACTCTGAGCCACCGCGGCGAATGGGCACCGGGATGCTGAGGACATCGCAGCCGCTGCGCTCCGCCTGCAGACATCATGATCTGATGAGTGTATATGTTTTTATTTTTTGTGTTGGTCTGTACAATATAAACACAATAACGTGTCAAAAACCACTGTGCTAATTTGTCTTTCATATGACCGACTGGGCCATTCATGGCTTGAAACCCAGAGGCAGACAACAAACTGCCATTACTGATGCCACAAATACTCCCACTGTTGATAATATCCGACTGAGACCAACATTTACTGAGAGTTGGATAATGCTGCATTCAGACAGCATTTCTCAAGTGGAAGTGATGTTAAAAGAAGCTGATGAGACACAGATCTTTACATATTTTATACCCAATACTCATACTGAGCAGGTATATTAATCTCCATGGTTACCACCTTAGTTTGTAATGATATCTGTGGGACTGCAGTAAACCAAAAAAATCGAAATTTTGACCGTCACAACTAGAACAGAGAACTCAAACTCGGCTTCGTTAGGAGCAAACATGCCAAGATTGTTGAGGTATAGAAAATGAAATGGTTCAGTTTAACAGAAAAAGAAATGTTCTTGTTGCATTGCACATAAACTGTTTCACAAAAAGCTCTGAAAATGGCAACAAAAAACAAAAGTGCAAAAACTACTAGCAAAAATTTGGCTAAAAAAATAAAAAGATCTTAGCCCGTGTAGGCCCATACAACCCATCCTCCTAGCATGAAATTGGCTGCACATAAAAACCTAAAATTGCAAATTAACTAAATTGCACTCAGTGACCACCTTGATTTAGCCATTTCCTCAACTATCATTAAACTCGCCTCTGCTGCTCCATTACATTGAAATTTAGCTTGAAGGAACCTATTCTGATCTAGCTGCACGCCTCTTTTTCTGGGGCTTTTACTGCTCTGTGGCTCCATCTCTCTGCTGGTGTGTGATATCAAAATGAGGCAAATTCTATTATCTGAAACACACACTCTTTACACATTGTGAAGCAGTACTCAGAATACAGGCTGACCTGTAATTGCCTGCCCTCAGCATCAGCTTTCCTTTTTATATGCCATTTCCTGCTAACTAGCTTGTATGCTTGCAGCTGCAAAGGAGGTTCGCCAGTTTGGCCACAATTTATTAAGAAACCGAAATGTGCATATCTGCGGGCTTGATTAAAATGAGTGGCCTGCGGGTCTTGAGTTTAACACATGAGTACACTTGAGTGACCGAAGTTATTTAATTAAATCACAAGTTAACTGGTTCAAAATCTCTGTACACCTAAATGTGTAACAGGTAACCCGCTTACAATCCCCATCATCCTCGAATTGAATCGCCTCATTATGTGATTACAAGCACACACATGTTAAGAGTTCACCAGTTACTATTCTCCAACAAGATGCTTGAATTCTACCTGGTGTGTGTGTGTGTGTGTGCGCGTGTGTGTAAGAGTGATTATATGAACATCGTTTTGTGCCTGATGAAGGTCAGTTGAACTGAAACGTTGCGATCCAGTAAAGCACTATTCACAGCTGAGAGACACTCTTTCCGGCTTGTCCTGAGTCTGCCTCCATGTCTCCTCCCAGTTCGACATGCCTGAAACATCTCGCCTCGGCGCCCCAAACCACCTCAGCTGGCTCCTTTTGATGCAGAAGAATAGCGGCTCTACTATGAGCTCCTCGTTCTTTCTCCAAGGCTGAGCCCACACACCATTCAGAGGAAGCTCATTTCCTCTAAATTCTTTCGGTCTCTACCCACAGCTCGTGACCATGGGTGAGGGAAGGCATGTAGATCAATGGTTAAATCGACAACTTTGCCTTTGCATTTGGCTCGCTCTTTACACCAACAAACCAGCACAGTCTGCATCACTGCAGATGCTGCGTGATGACCTCGAGAGACACTGGAACTTGTGCCGAACCCAAAGCAGCAATCCAGCTTTTTCCTCCAAGTCCGAATCCAGCTAATTAACCCTGGGAGGTCCAGCCAGAACAGGCCGAATTGGTCGATGCTACTGTGAGGCCACAGCGTGGAAGTCAAAAGTGGAGACTTTGGTGGTCCTATACAGGGTACTCAAGTTGACTCATCTCAGCAGTTGAGATATTTCAGTGTGAACAAAAGTGGTGGGTTAAATGACCAACAAATTGACAGCATGCCCCGCAGAGCTGGTGCGCCGGCGTGCCTAAAATTGCTGTTGAAAAGTACAAAATTGCCTCATTCAAGAGACCAAACGAAAACTCTCATAAGGCACAAATGCACTCTCTGGAGAAAACGGCAGACATTGTTCAGACCCTGCAGACAACTCGGGCTTTGAGGCAAAACTCTGCAATAAAAAAAAGAAAGAAAACCCGCCGACTGTCGTACACCACTGATTTAAAATGGCAGGTGGACTTATACGATCTCAAAAAAGAAAGAAAACAGATTCCTTTCATATTCTGTCTGCCTTGTGTTTAGTGAGCACACCCTACCATGTTGGCAAAATAAGAGGATCCTTATAGAGGTGCGTACTCAGTATGTAAGAGGCTTTGTGTAGTCAGACTGGAGGGCAGGAAGGCAGGTGATGGGACATTAAAGCACTCGTAATACCTCACAGTGGTCAGTTATGGGAGCAGTGAGAGCTCCAAACAAGCAGCCCCCGGTGCCTGAAAATCTACTCTCTGCATTGACAAAAGCAGACGATTATGTAAGGCAACCTAAAATATTAGTATGTGGTAACTCTAGTTGCCACGGCAGCAAAGCGCACACACTGTCAGACTTGGCTCTGAAGCACACACACACAAACTGCTGACATACCCCGAGGGCGGGTTTTGTGCCTTTATTCCTGTTGTCTTTGTGTTATGCATGCACAAGCAGAAGACATGACACTGTAATTGTGTCCTGTGGCCTGTAGCCGTGCGGCCAAGTCGGCAATCATTAGCCCGAGCAGTGAAAAACAGTCCTACGGTATGAAACAGCAACGATTACCATCATTCATGTTATTGAATCGATCTTAATGAAGCTATTCTTTGTGCTACTCCTGAGTACAGATGGCAAACGCCCTCAGAACATCACACATCCAATCAGAGGGGAAAAAATACAGCCAGAACAAAGTTGTGTTGTAAATAAACTGATTTAATTGACACAGAATAAAGAAAAAAGTGCCACTAGTAACCACAGCCTTTGTGAAGAGGGGCATTCTAACACCGGCAGGGGGTAACTCCCGTGGTTGCAAAAAGAAGCCTGGATGTATAGCAGTCTACGAGTTAACTACCTTTGATCTGTGACCTCACTAAAAAATTTCCTGGAGCCAGATTCAATAAGGCGGATTTCCATAGACTTCCATGATGTTTTTAACCTGGTCTCCTCTGTTTTTTAGGGAAATTTAGTGCTTTATTGAATGGAAACTAGGGAGAGAGCAAGAGGGAATAACATGACAATGAAATGGTCTGGGGCAGAGTCGAACTGATATTTTAAGACCAAAACAGCACCTTCCTGTTTACTAATCTCTCGGGTATGGTCGGAAGAAGCTGCCTTGAGATGAGCGTGCAGGAATAGACTAGTCCAGCACTTGTAAAGTTGAGTTTCTACCAAAATAATAATAATAATTTCACACACCGCTGGTCTCCTGCTGGTTAGAGGAACTTTGTTTTTTAAAAAAAGGTTGTGATTGCTTTGGTTGCCATATTCACCTGTAGTTTGCATAGAAGAGGCCGACTTGTCCGGAAACACCAGCTACTTGCTGAGAGGTAGTAAAACTTTGTCAAGTGCAACACAAACGTTCGCCTTCAAAGCAAAAGTTGTGCGTCATCAGTGTAGCCAAAAGGAGAAAAATGGTCTCTGTTTTCAGTCTCACTTTTGACGGTTTCACTAATACCCGCTGAGCAGTGAGTGTCTGAAAAGAAAAAAACGATATCGTCTGCGAAAACTACTGACAACCAAAGCAATCACATGGAGGTTTTTGGGGCCATTCATCTCTTTGCAACCAATTTCACAGCAATTATCATCAACCTCCAACGACCACTTGCCAACCAGTAGGAGAGTACACATTTTTCCGTAGCAACCTATTGTTACTGGGGTGGTGTCACTGACTGTGATTGGATATTTAGTAACCAGTTTCACAGTAACTTCAATCAAACTCCAGCAACAACTC